TCCTTCTAGAAGAGGACCATGACATCAGGGAAATGATGATATAACTTGCAATTGACTTTGATTTGAGTGAGGGAGGGCTGTGCAAAGTCACCAGCCTCACTTTCTCCTCCAGAACCATCTGGGTCCAGCGGCCAGATATCAATCAGGATGACTGGAGATGGCCCCAGGGTTCAGTGGGAGACCTTGGCCCTTTTAATCTAAGAATATATCCCAGTTATGGATAACATAGAGACAAGAAATGAATATGAGTGAGGAGCAAGGCCAGTCTGGCTGGACCATAGAGTATGGAAAAGGGAGTTTGGGGTAGCATTGGTTGGAAGGGTAGTTTGAGGTCAAGTTAAAGAAGACTTTAGAAGCCAGACACAGGATTTAGATTTGGTCTCAGAGTTGATAGGAAAGCTTTAGAGTACAGTCGAGGAGGGATGTGACCTGGTCAGGCCTGTGCTTTATGAAAAGATCACTTAAGCTTTTTAAGTTACATCTTCTAAAATAAGGGGATTGACTGAGATGATTACTAGGGTTCTCTGCCATTAATTATTAAGTCTTCCTTTTCAGTTCTTTTCTCTGTTATTGCCACTTCTTTCAAACTGGGTTAGTGGATGGAGATCAAATTTGGAAATCAGGAAGCCCTGAGTTCAAATCATTTTTCAGACATTTACTAGCTGTGTGACTTCTGGCAGTATAAGTCAATATGTGTCAGGTACAATCCTGAAGACCTTTTCTTTGGCACAGTTCCTAACCCTTTCTTCTCTCTTGGATCCCTTGATTAGTCTGATGAAGTCTATGCACTCTTACAACTGTTTTAAAATGTATAAAACAAAATTCATGGGAAACCAATTCTATGTAAATAAAGATGTAATTTTTATATATTACATACTATATACATTATATATTATATACTATAATATATAATTTGTTATTGTATTATGTATTAATCTTTGTTAAACAGCTTCAGTTTACTCATTTGTCAATGAAGATTATCATGACACCTGTATCATAGAGTTGTTTGGAAGACCAGATTAAGTAATGTGTGCAGAATACTTTGTAATCCTTAAATCTGTATATAAATGGCAACTATTAATATGCCTCAGGTCCTTGAAAAGAAACAGCATTATCCTTTCATTTTGTGTTTTATATATGTATATATATATATATGTATATATATATATATATGTGGCTGCATGACATATGTATAATTTTCTATTTTAAATTAAATTTTCTTTTTTGTTACGAATTTAAACGTCAATAAACACAAACATTTCACTACATAAAGAACAAGAAAGGAGATTGTAAAAAACTCTGAAATTGTTAGGAATAGTTTTTATTATTTTTGTGACTATTAAATTTAGTATGGTAATAGCAAAGCTGCCCTGCTTATTTGTGTCCCCATATAAACTTCATTCTCTCATCTGTGTATCTCAAAAAATATTTAATTGATGCTTCTTTCTTTTTTTGTATCTGTCACTACTGACTAGCTGCTCCCTCCCAACATAATCTCTACCCTTTAACAAATTAGTATTGTCAAGCAAAACAAATCACATAGGCTATGTCTAAAAAATGTATGCTTCATTCTGTACCTCACTGGAACAAGCTAGATACAGAAGAATTAGACATAATTGAACTTATTAACCAATCTAAAGACATAAATGACTTAGGAAAGAACTTATTATTTGACAAGAACTTCTGGGACAACTGGAAAGAAGACATAAATTTGGACCAACATAGTACACTATATTCCATAATAAATTCAAAATTGGAATGTGGCCTGAATATTGATGATCTTACCAATGAAAAAATTAGAAGAGATGCATATCTTGTACTTAAAATTTTTTTCATTCATTTTTAATTTAAATACAGAAAGACAGAACACTTCCATGTGCACAGCACAACATAAAAAAGAGGATTCAATATAAAACCATGAATTTCCATTTCACACTGTTTACTTCTATGAAAAACTATGTAATAAATACTACACTTCATTTTCAAAGTTACCCTGCTTTTCTCTGTTTCCTTCTAAGTTTTCTCTTGTTCTCTCCTGTACACTTTTTACTTTTTTTCTCCCTCTCTTCCTACCCCACCCTAGAGAAGGCTACCATTAGACACACAAGTATATATAGTTAAAACCATACTATACATACTTCTCTTTATCAGTTCTTTTTCTGGATGTGGACAGTATCTTCTTTCAGTTGGTCCTTTGTAGTTAAGTATGTATAATACTCAAAATGGCTTAGTCATTCAAAGTTGTTCTTAGAATAATATGGCCATTACTGTGTATGACATTCTCTTGGTTCTACTCATTTCACTTTTCATTATTTCATGCAAACCTTTCTATATTTTTCTGAAATAAATCAGCTCATCATTTCTTATAGCACAGACTAGTGTTCCATCACAACCATATACCATAATTTGTTTAACCATTCTCTAATTGGCAAGCATCTCCTCAATTTACAGTTTTTTGCCACCACAAAGAGAGCTGCTATAAATGTTTTACAACGTAAACATTCTTTCCCCTAATCACCTTGGGAAATAGACCTAATAGTGATATTGCTGGGTCAAAGGATATAGATAGTTTAATAACTCATTTGGCATAATTCCGTATTGGTCTCCAAAATGGTTGATCGGTTCATGGTTCCACCAACAGTGAATTAGTGTCCCAATTTTTTCACATGCCCTCCAATATTTGTCATTTTATCTTTCTATCATGTTAACCAATCTAATAGGTGTAAGATGATGTCTCCAAGTTGTTTTAATTTGCATTTCTCTAATCAATAGTGATATAAGTTTTTTCTATATGGCTATATATAGTTGTGATTTCTTCATACTTTTCACAGAAATGTATAGTGTGTACTTTTTTAACAAAAGATAATAGAGGCAGTTCTAGAAGATAAAAAATAGTCATTTACATGAAAGTGAAGTCTTTTAAGTTATTTTCCTTTATATTAATGTAATTTATTCTTATGGTTTTGCTCATTTTCCATTTCCTACAAATATTGGTAGATCACTTTGAATCTGTCCTGCATGTCATTTTTTTTTAATATATTGGACCTTTGTCTCTATTTGAATTTCTGAGTCATCTACTGGATTTTCTGCTGAGTAATGTGATTGTTGAGTCACAGAGTCACTTTTGTTATATAATTCGGAATTGAAATTCACAATACTTAGGCTACTTCATAGCTGCCCCATCATAAATAATATGTTAAATATTCTGCAGACCTTAAAGTGATATGCAAATGCTACCTAATATTATTATTCCCATGTCTTATTATCCTAGTCAATTTATGTGGTGTGTTTTTATTTCTTTTTCTTTTTTCTTTCTTTTTTTTATTAAGTAATTTTGACCTTGTTTTAGGTGGCCATTTGGGGTTTCTAATTCTTTTGAAAACAGCTTGTTGATCTCCTTGGACCACTAATCTGTTATGGCACACATTTTGGTATTATGCATTTGTGTCAGTTCTCTGTACATTTTAGAAACCAGAATTTTATCAGTGATATCCCACAGTCTTTCACAGATCACAGGCAGTAAATATCTCAGCAGTCCCAATTTTAAAATATTTCAGTACTTTTGGGCTTTGTGATTTGAACTTTTGAAAAGTAGCGTGGTACCTTCCTATTATCCTCATACTTCAGTCAATCAATAAACATTTATTAAGTACCTACTATGGACCAGGCACTGTGCTAAGCTCTGGGGATATAAATTTTAAAAAAGAAAGAAAGCCAGCTCCTTCCCTCAAGGAACTTCCACCTTAATGGAGGAAGACAACACACAAAAGGAAGTTGAAAAGAATATGTATGTGTGTGGGGGTGGGGGGGGATGTCAATGTTCTGTTAGCCATATTTGTTATTTATTTTCTTGTCCTGTCATATAATTTTCTTTTTTCTTTCCCAATATAAATATATTTTTATTTATTTCATTAAATATTTCCCAATGTTAATATTCATTTAAAATGTTATTCATTTAATGTTAATATTCATTTAAAAAAATTTTGAGTTTCAAATTCTCTCCCTCCTGCTCCTTCTCTATCACTTCAGAAGGCAAGCAATGTGATATCAATTATACGTGTGAAGTCATAAAAAACATTTCCATATTAATATGTTGCAAAAGACAACAACACATAGAAAAAGAAAAACAAGAAAAATAAAGTGAAGAACGTTTGCTTCAATCTGCACTTAGAACTCATCAGTTCTGTCTCTGGAGGTAGATAGCATTTTTCATCATGGCTCCTTTGGAATTGCCTTGGATCATTGTCTTGATCAGAGTAGTTATGTCTTTCAAGGTTGATCACTGTTACAATATTGCTATTACTGCACATGATACTATTCTATCAATCATTTACCATAACTTCTTCAGCCATTCCCCAATTGATCAGAATTACCTCAATTTCCAATTCTTTGTCGTCTTAAAAAGAGCTGTTATAACTATTTTGTACAGATAGGTCCTTTTCCCTTTTCTTTGATCTTTGTAGGATATAGACCTAGTAGTGATGCTGGGTCAAAAGGTTGTATAGCCTTTTGGGCATAGTTCCAAATTGTCCTCCAGAATGGTCAAGCAGTTTGTAACTCCTCCAACAATGCATTAGTGTCACAAAGTTTTATCCAAAGCATATTCTGTGAGGAATAGAGGGAAATGGAAATATTTTTCTTAATTCAGTAAGCCATGGTTGGGCCATAGAGAGCTTGGTTTGCATACTCAGTATCAATGCAGACTGTAGAAGATTTCTATGAATTTAACTCATGTCAATTAATTTACTTTTCGTGGAGCCCTGTCCCTTGGAACTTGCTAGAAGTAGTGGCTTTGAATCCAGGTCTCGGGCACTAATGTCTGTGGCTCTTCCCTTTGATTTTAGGTTAAGATAGGTTTGTTCTTTGTTAGGTTTGACTTCTGTTTCTGTAGAGGACCATGGAACTGATGCCTAGGTTGGGTGCTTACATTTCTCTCTTGGTGAGTTTAGGAAATGCAAGATAAGATTGATTTTCTGCTTAACATATTTCTCCTTCCCCAGTTTTGGCTTCTCAAGACTTTGACCAAAAAGTGAGAATCAAAGTGGCAAGAGAATGGCTTCTGGGTGCCTAACAGCCTTGTCTCATGTAAGTTATTTTGTTCTGTCCCTCCTGAGAAGTAGTTTCATTCCTAAAAGTATGGACACATTCCATTCACTTTAACTCCTTCTTCTTCCAACAAATCATACTCAGGGACTTAAACATCAATTGTTTTTTCTTAGAAGACTTTGCTTCTTCTTATGTCTGATGCAGGGCTCCTAAAGTTCATATCTTTTTAAAATTTATTTTCTTTTTTTTTAATCAACAATTGAATTTTTGAATTCAATATTGAAACAATTTGAATTTAAAAACTGAAACAATGTTTTCAATTTTTTTTTCAATCAACAAAAATCTTTTCTCTCCCTCCCACTTTCACCTTCTGTTCCCCCTCCCCATACTATAGAAAAAGAAAAACAAGTCTTGTAAGAAACATGCATAGTCAAGCAAAACAAATAACTGTATTGTCCAGGTCCAACAATTTGAGTCTCATTTTGCATATTTAGTCCTTCACCTCTCTCTGAGGAGATGGACAGCATTCTTTATCATTAATCCTCTGGAATCATGTTTAAGGTTGGAATGTGTCTTAAGAATCATGTGGACAAATATGATATATGAGTTATATGAGATACAGAGAAGTGATGTGTCTCATTTAAACAAGCACTAAACATTTATTAAGTACCTATTATATGCCAGGCATTGTGCTAGGTGAACAAAAAGAGACAAAAGATGAAGTCTTTGGTTTCAAGGAGCTCACAATCTGGTGGGGGGGGAGAGGATGACAACAAGCAAATAACAAGCTGTATTACAGTATAAATAGGAGATAATTAAAATGGAAGACACTAGAATCAAGAAGGGTTGGGGAAGGCTTCCAGTAGAAGGTAGAATCTTAGGTGGGACTTATTAAAGAAAGCCAGAAAGATCAGTAGTTGGAGCAAGGAGAAAGAATTCCAAACATGGGGGACAGCCAGAGAAAATTCCCAGAGCTGAGATGGCATGTCTTGTTTGGAGAACAGTCAGGAGGCTACTGTCACTGGATCATGGAATACATGTCAGGGAGTAAAGCATAAGAAGACTGGAAAGGGAGCAGAAGGCTGGGTTATGAAGGGCTTTGAAGGCCAAACAGAGCATTTTGTATTAATTCCTAGAGGTGAAAGGAGCCACTGGAGTTTATTGAGGGGAGGATGAGGGGGAAGTGACATGATCAGATCTGCATTTTAGGGAAAGCACTTTACAGAATTGTTAGAAAATAAACCCACCCACAAAAGGCAATACCATTTTAATACAGTTATTACCAAATTCAGGAGGCAATAGCAAAAAGGGAAGTCCCATCCAAAATAACTATAAAATGCATAAACTATCTAGGAGTTAATATGCTGTAGCACACCCAGTACCTATCTATATAGAGACACTACAAAGTGAGTCTTAAAGAAATGAAAAAAAAAACAACTTAAGTAAAGGTCTTTGAGGGATTAGAAAAGAAGGAGTGTATAACTACAGAGTGAATCAGGAGCATCACAAGGTACATTTTGGGTTTACTTGGTTTTTTGCCCAAAGTAATAAGAGGGCACCAAAAAAAAAAAATTCACTTAACAGCCCCAGTACATCCCTGTGTGTGTGTCTTTGGTGAAAGCTATTTTTCACATGAAATGAAATCTTCAGCTCTCAAATCTGGAAACGTAACTTTCAGGTCTTCTATATCCCACCTTTTTGTGATGAAAGTATTAAAATGTTGTCAGACTGCATAAGAATACATTCAAGATAAAATACAAAGATGAGCTCCATGGTGAAGACAACATAATATTGAAAGCATTGGGAAAATGGTTGATCCTATCTTCATAGTCATGTGTGACATTTAAAAAGTTCGAGAGACATAGTTTCTGGGTAATCAATCATTTTATTAATAATGCTAGAATATTATTAATAAAAGAGATGGTCATTTGGCCATCTCTCTTGGACCACAGATGAATCATGGCAGTGGGCTCACACTTTATGTCTCCTTGGAAGAGTGGGTATTCTTGAGCATGGAAATCAACTCTGATTGGTTAACAGTTAATGAAAGAGAATGAGATGTGAACCTATTCTAATGAGGAGCTGAAGGGGATGTAATTTTGATCATGACATTTACTTCCAGATCACCCTCAGGGAAATCCAGACAAAGGGTCAATATCCTCAGCCCAAGCTAGAGTACAATACAATGGGCTGTAGTTTCACCTTAGATTAAATTCCTTGTAAGGTTGGGTGGAGTAGCAATACCTAGATTGAGGAGAATGTTAATCCTATTTACTATCATTAGCCATGTCCTTCAGAGGCTAAGCCTTGAAATGAGGACTTTAGAAAAAGGGGGAAAACTGGATTTCTCAAATCTTGGTTATTAATAATTACTTCTTGCATTCCCTCATTTGATTCTATTGATAGACACAATCTCTTCAATGAATCACTAACTGATATGACAAGCACTTCATCAAGGGCTTCTAACTATGGAGCTTGTGAGGGGCAAAGGGAAAGATCAATCAGTGATCTGATAAAATTAAAGGGGACAATCCCCTTTAAAAAGTAGACATTACCCATAAGAGCCCAAAGGGAAAAGTAAACAATAAGAAAATAAAATTGTCCATTTCATGGAAGTCTCATCTCAGAGTCATCTGGTTCTCTGGAAACATCTGATATAGCCTGCTGGTTTAGGTGTGGTCTCAGAGCAGTTTCCAGCTTACTGGCTTCTCTGATTTGGGTTACTTGTAGAGATCCTCTTCTCTTGCTAAAAAATCTTCAGAATTGGTCCTAACACAAATTTAAATTTACTTTGCCAATAACCAGGTAAAATAGTGAAAGTTAGTTTACATTTTATGTCTCTATTAGAAGATCAAATTTGGAACTCTTTAGACCAGAATTTATATTTTTATGTTTAGTGTCACATTGATACATCTAAGAAACTCAAATAAAAACTGAAAATTAGAACCCAATTTTTATACTTGGCATTATTCATTCCCCCTTTAGGAGGATAAGATTCTGCTAAGGAATTAATAAAAGAATACTTTTTATAAGAAGATGATAATTAATATATATATATATATATATATATACATATATATATACATATATATATGTACACACACATATATAATAGCATCTAATATAAAAATGAATTCATTTAAAAGTTGCCAGATTAACTTCAATTGTAACAAAAGATTCCAGGATTGGATATATAAATACATTAAATAATCAATATCAAAACAGTGCATATCAAGTAAGTTGTTTATAATAAAACATTTTCAACTTCTATCCATGTTCAAATGAATAACCCCTAGAAAAAGTGGACCTCTGTTTAAGTCATTTATAAGATAGACCACAAGCCATTTTTCATTTGAGATAGCTAATTGTGCTGCTATTCTTTTCATTAATGTAGAACTGAGTCAGTTACAATATTAACTTCACAAATAACAGAATTATATACTGGTTTCACAAGTCTTCACATAATTTACCTAATTGTCCCCATACTATTATGAGAAATTAAAGAACCTTATCTTATACCTGAATATACAATTAATAATAGCAGATGACAAGGCTAAATACTTATTTACTTAGTTGTTCAGAATATAGAAAGGACTAAAATTCTTGACCAAATAGCTCAAATTTTATGCCTGCATCTCATTATAATAACTCAGATGTAGTTTAGCATCAACCGTAAAAAGAAATCTTCTTAGTTGCGTTTATACCGATCATCTAACATGATTATAGAAATTTGCCATAAAAGAAGAATCAGGGAAATAGTTACACAGTAAGGGAATAATGCTTCCCTAACTTCATGTCAGTTCCAGGTGAAAGTTACATAGATGGCCAATTGCATTGAGACAGGATTAAAGTCAGCCAGATGGGATATTTTCTATTCAAGAAGAAATTTCATAGTGGTGAAACTGAGTGAGAATAATCCGATCTCAGCCCATGCCAAGAGCCCATGCCCCCAGCCTTTCCCATGAGAACTCCACCTGTAGTTCATGGATGTCAACCCCATAGGGTTTCTCACATCATGGATCATTGGCTTAACAGCACTCCTTGATAATCATACCTGGAATCAGACTCAGAATAATATTAGTTACAGTCTCATAAAGTCTAAAATAACAAGTTCCAATAATCATAGCTTTTGGTGGATTCAGCTCTCAAGGATCAAAATTCCTTGATAACAAGCATTGACTATAATCTCACATTGGTAACAGTAAGAGATTCATCTTGAAAAATAACCATTTATTTTGATGTAACTAATGCTCATGGTAAGTATATGCTTTTTTATCCCTAGGTTCAATATTACACAAATGATTTTGCTTTAAGATGCTACTTTAATAACAAATAACAAAAGACTAGGGATGGGATATGTAAATATAATAATCTCAAATTGTATGAAGAGAACAGCTTATGTGAAAAATTGTCTATAGTAAAACATGTTTCATTAATAACCATGTTCAAATGGACATGATCATAGATACTGCTCTCAGAATCTCTTTAAACAATGAGAATATCTTTAAGGTGACTCTTAAATAGTTTGCATGTATTTCAGGGCATGCTGTACATGAGGGATGGGGAACCTGTGGCCTCTAGGCCCCATATGGTCCTGCAGGTCCTCAAGTGCGGGTATTTGTTCTGTGAAGTTTGGATTCAATCACTGGGCTGCATATGGCCTTGAGGCTACAGGTTCCTCACCCCTGCTCCACACATAGGTTATAATCCCAGATTAAATAACAAAGAAGAGTAAAATCATATTTCCCTTTAAGATAACACAAGACAGCTAATAAGTTACTACTCTCCACTAATATAACTGACTGCACTGAAATCTTATGCCTTAAAACATAAACAAAAGCAGTTCCTCACCTTAACTTCACAACTTAATAGATTCACATCTTTGCTTCACAAGCTACTCTACCTTTGTCTAATTATACTCATATCATTCTAAAAGAATGAGATACTACAGGAACTGAATCTTATACATATGACAAGCTCAAGCACTGATTTAACTCTTGCTTAGACCATGGAATGACTACAAATCCAGGTCAAAACAGCAAGATCTTTCCCACTTGCAGCTTATTACAGTAATTCAGATGCCTCAGTATTAATCTAGTAACTAATAAATCCAGTATTGCAATGGCAAACTTCTACTGTTTGCTTACCCTGATAATAGAAATTTCCTATGAGAGTTAGAAGCTGGGACATGGTTATAATAGCATCAGACATGGCTATTGACGGAATTTATTTTGCTTGACTGTGCATATTTTTTGGTGGGTTTTGTTTTTCTTTTTTCTTCTTCAATGGTAAGAGAGGTGGGGATAGGAAATAAATGTTTTTTAATTGAATAAAAATAATTTAAAAATAACTTGAATGTTTTACTTGGACTTCATTGTGCAGAATGATTTGTAAGGTTGACTTTGAGCAATAAATTAAAATTATTTATAATTTACAAAGTCTAGTATAAAATGGGGAAGATGGTAAATAAATTCTCAAGGAATACTTGACATGGAATATTCCAATTCCTTGATTCTATGGGAACTGCTCACTATGGGTGGAACCAATTTCATGTCTTCCTCATGTTTCATATGAAGAATGGTCCATGAATGCATGGGAATGTTTTTGACTATTTCAGAAATTGTTAACACTGCAAGATGGTTGTAGACTTCACCCAAGAGGAATGGAGCCTGTTGGATCCTGCTGAGAAGGACCTTTTCTGGGATGTGATGCTTGAAAACTATGAGAACTTTGTCTCCCTTGGTAAGGATAGCTTTTCTCTCATGAACTGTCTGACCATTAGAAGGATGTTACATTCTCACTTCATAAAGGTCATGGAATGTCTCAAGTGATTTGCTGAGTTCTGACTTGGTATTTAGAGCTTTCTCAGGAGTACATGTAATATAGAAAGGCCCCTTGTATCCTTTGGTGTAAAGAAGTGAGGTGTTTTTGCTTCCTCTCCAGAGGAAAGGCCATGGCTTTTTACAACTGGAAATCAGCAGCTTTGTTATGCTGCTTCTGAAGCTATATTTTGCCTACTTTGTGCTCAGAAAAGACAAAAACTTCTCCACTCAAGTCCCTATTCTAGTAGCTCTTTAGAGACATGGAAGATTTTATATATAGTCTTTGTAGAGAATGTACAGAAATACACTAATTGTGTTTGAACGTAAGTCAGACCTGTCAGTTATCTTCCATATTTGATGCGATTCAACCATAATATATAGCATCCTTACAAGGTCCTTTCTAGACTGCTCTCTGTTTTCCTAAGGAGAAAAATTAAGATTGAATTCTTAAATATCCCTCTGTTCTCAGCATCTTTCCAAATGTTTCCTCATGAGCAAGGACTTCCAGATTCCAAACCACTTCTGATTTCTCAGTTGGAGAGAAGAGAAGCCCCATGGCTACCAATGGAAGAAGTCCTAAAAAGCATTTATGTGGGTGAGTGAATTAAAACCAGGTAGATGGTTATAGAAGATTGCAGGCTGCACCACAGCTAGTCAGTAAGGATGTATTCCCTTTGGAATGTGAGAGTGGACCTGATTCTAAAAGACCCCCAAGGCTCTGGAGAAGGATTGTGGTTGTTCCTCTTTAAGTACTTCCTCATCTTATAGTCATGTGATCTTTTTGTCCTCGTATTTCCCTACAGCCTCAGAAAAAGAGGTATTCCTTGTCTGGAAAGATATCTTCTAAGATGCTGTCAAATAGATTGCTAAATATGGTCACCTATTCTCTATATCAGTCATGCACTTCTTCATATATATTAAAGAAAATGTGTACAGATTGTGTACTTGTGTACATCATTGTGTACAATCTGCACTTGTTAAATTGACGTTGCATTTTTGGGATTAATAATTTTCTATTTATTTATTTATGTATTTAGAGTTCCAAATTTCTCACCCCTCCCCCCACCCCAAGATGGCATGCATTCTGAATACCCCTTCCCCTGGTCTGCCTTCTCTTCTATCTCTCCCCCTTCCCTTCTCTTATCCCCTTCCCCTTCAATTTTCCTGTAGGGCAGGATAGACTTCTGTACCCCATTTCCTGTATTTCTTATTTCCCAGTTGCATGTGAAAACATTTTTTTTAAAACATGTGTTTTTAAAACTTTGAGTTCCAAATTTTCTCCCTTCCTCCCTCCCCACCCACCCTCATTGAAAAGGCAAGCAACTCAATATAGGTTGTACATGTGCAGTTATGCAAAACACTTCCTTGGTCGACATGTTGTGAAAAACTAACTCTATTTCCCTTAATCCTATCCTGCCCTCCCATTTATTTTATTCTTTCTTTTGACCCTGTCCCTCCTCAGAAGTATTTGCTTCTGATTACCCTCTTTCCCAATCTGCCCTCCTCTCTATCACCCCCCTGCTCTCTTGTCCCCTTCTCCCCCTATTTTCCTGTAGGGTAAGACAGATTTCCATACCCAATTGGATGTGTATGTTATTCTCTCCTTAAGCCAAATGGGATTAATAATTTTCTAAAAATAAGTAATATTTTTTCCTAGATATTCTCTTTAGTTTAAGAAATCTATTTGTTAGAAATAACCTCTTTCCATTTTCTGATAATTAGGGCATTCCTGAAGTCCTCTGTAGTTCACTGTTCTGTTAACTATCTGGACTTCACTTCCTTTCTAGGAATGTTCTTCTACCTGTACCAGATTAATGTTCATTCTTCTTCATGAATGTGATAGCATCTAAAACTTAGTATTAATTAATTTAATTTTGTCATTGAGCATTGAATATTGACACCTTTTACTCCCTCTTAGATTTTCTTCCTGAACATAATACATTTGGACTGAAATGCAGTCTAGGATCAATCCTCACTACACAACAGAAAATTCCTGGGAAAAAATGTGTCCATGAATATGAAAACCTTGGGAAGAACTTCACTCTGTTTTCAGACCTAAGTGATCATAATAGAATCTGCTTAGGAGAGAAACTGTCTCAGCATAAGAAATTCAAGAAGCCCTTCATTCACCATTCAAAACATATGTATTCCCATAGGACATATCCTCAGGGAAAACTCTCTAAACATGATAAAGTTGGCAAAGACTTCAAAAGCATCAAATCACAGGTTCCTGAACCTCAAAGTGTTTATAGTGGTGAGGAGAAAATTTTTGAATGTAATGAACATAGGAAAGCTGACCACAGTAAACAATACTTAACTGCATATCAAACAACACATACTGGAGAGAAGCCCCATAAATGCAAAGAATGTGAAAAAGTCTTTAGTTCCTGGATAAACCTTTTTCTACATAAGAAAATTCATAGTGGAGAGAAATCCTACTTATGTAATGAATGTGGCAAAGCCTTTAAGCAGAAACAACACCTTAAAACCCATAAGGTGATTCACACTAGACAGAAGCCTTATGAATGTAATATGTGTTTGAAAGCCTTCAGTAACAAATACTACTTAGACCAACATAAGAAAATCCATACTATTGATGTAGCCTATAAATGTCATTGTGGGAAAGCATTCTGCCAGGAATCACACTTTATTAAACATAAGTTAGTTCATACTAAAGAAAGGCCATTTGGGTGTAATGAATGTGGGAAAGCTTTCAGCAATAAACACTACCTAAGCAAACATCAAAAAATTCATATTGGAGTGAAACCCTTCAAATGTAATGAATGTGGGAAGGCCTTTAGCAGTAATAGCTACCTAATTCAGCATAAAAAAATTCATACTGGAGTGAAGCCCTTCAAATGCAATCAATGTGGGAAAGGCTTTATGAGTAATAGCTACCTAATTCAGCATCAAAGAATCCATGCTGGAGGAAAGCCGTATAAATGTTATGAATGTGGGAAAGCTTTCAGCAGTAATAGCTACCTAATTCAGCATCAGAGAATTCATACAGGTGAGAAACTATATAAATGTAATGAATGTGGGAAGACTTTCATTAGTAATAAACAGCTATCACAACATAAAAGAATACATACTGGAGAGAAGCCTTATAGCTGTAATGAATGTGGAAAAACCTTCAGGCAGATGGGACATGTTGAAACACATAAAAAGATTCATACAGGTGAGAAGCCTTTTGAATGCAGTGAATGTGGGAAAGCCTTCATCAGTAATCAACAGCTATCACGACATCAAAGAATTCATATTGGAGGGAAACCCTATAAATGTAATGAATGTGGAAAAGCATTCAGTAGTAATAGCTACCTAACTCTACATCAAAGAATCCATCCTGGAGGGAAACCCTATAAATGTAATGAATGTGGCAAAGTCTTCATCAGTAATAATAACCTAATTCAGCATCAAAAAATCCATCCCGGAGAAAACCCCTATAAATGTAATGAATGTGGGAAAGTCTTCAGCAGTAATAGCTACCTAATTCAACATCAGAGAATTCATACTGGAGAAAAACCCTACAAATGTAATGAATGTGGAAAAGCCTTCATCTGTAATAGCTACCTAATTCAACATCAACGAATCCATACTGGAGGGAAGGCCTATACGTGTAATGAATGTGGAAAAGCCTTTAGCAGTCTTCAAAAGCTCACTCTTCATCAAAGAATTCATACTGGAGAGAAACCCTATAAATGTAATACATGTGGGAAAGCCTTCAACAGTAACAGCTATCTCATTGAACATCAAAGAATCCATACTGGAGAGAAACCCTATAAATGTAAGGAATGTGGCAAAGCCTTCAGGCAAAGTTCATCACTTATGCAACATCAGAAAATTCATACTGGAGAGAAACCCTATAATTGCAATGAATGCGGAAAGGCCTTCAGGCAGAGTTCATCCCTTATGCAACATCAGGTAATTCATACTGGAGAGAAACCCTACAAATGTAACGAGTGTGGGAAAGCATTTAACAATAATCAAAATTTATCACGACACCAAAGAACTCATACTGGAGAGAAGCCCTATAAATGTAATAAATGTGGAAAAGCCTTCAGCAGTAATAGCTACCTAACTCAGCATCAAAGAATCCATACTGGAGAAAAACCTTATAAATGTAATGCATGTTGGAAAGCCTTTAGCAGTAATCAGAAGCTCTCTAGACATCAAAGAGTCCATACTGGAGAAAAACCCTATAAATGTAATGAATGTGGGAAAGCCTTCTGTACCAATTCTAGATTTGAAACACACAAGGCAATTCATTCTGGAGAGAGACCTATAAAAATATAATGAACTCAGGAGAGGCTTTAGGTTTGAGACTCATACAGTATGAATGTGAGGCCATACTGGGAAGAAATCTTAAGAAATAAAATTAATGTGTGAAAGCCTTCTGCAGAAAGGTAAACCTTAATACACACAAGAAAACTCAAGGCTCATGAGAAATCTTTTAAGTGTAATGAGTGTAGAAAATGTGATTGAAATCTTAAAGAACATGACTCAATGCTCCTAAATGTGCATTAAACTTACAGAATATTATGAAGGCTTCATACAGGCAACAGTTAGTATATAACATAGTTTTCATAACTGAAAATACATTCCAGGTAATGAATGTGTGCAAACTTTCAAATGAAAGTGTCATAAGACACTTCATATTAAAAAGAGAAACCTGTTCAATATAATGAATGTTAGAAAGCATTCAGGCTGAATCAGACCTTTGTACATAAGAAAATTATTATCTTAGAAAATTAATTTTTTTTTCTCGAGAAACCTTCTGCTAAAGGATTTACAAATTATCTGATAAGACTGATGAAATTCTTTATGAATAAAACTCACAGTTCCTGAGAGAATTCATACTAAGGATTCTGTGCATTTATTATAATGCAATGATGGTTTGAAAAAAATTATACAATATCATAAAATTTCAGAGTTAGAGGAGACTTCAGAGAACATCTTGTCCCAATTTGATCTGAACAAGATTGCCCCATACACCATACAAATCCTCACCCAGCCTTTGTTCTTTAATGAGGAGGAGGCCACTGGGTTCCTGAGGGAGTCTGTTCCACTTTGGGGTAGTGCCTGCTATTAGGGAGTTTTTCCTTATATCAAGCCTAAATTTGCCTCTTTGCAATTTCCCTCCCTTTTTCCTGCTTATACTCTGCATGGCCCAAGAGAACAAGCCAAATCCTTCTTGTCTGTGAGAAACCATCATATGCTTGAAGTCAGCCATGATAGATAGCCTGTTTTCAATTCTTCAGAGAAAATCTTGGCTGTTATTAGCTGCCCCTGCCACATTTTCTATCAGCTGCAAATCAGATAACCATGGCACGTACACCCTTAGCTAAGCCATTAATTGAAATATTAAACAGATCAGGGCCTAGCACAGATCCAAGGAACATTGCACCAAAAATCTCCTTCCAAGATGACATCATCATCATCATCATCATCATAGCTAGCACTTACAACACAGTAGGTGTTAGCCTACTATGTTTCAGGCATTCTGTTAAACACTTTACAGAGACAATCTCATTTGATCTGCATAACTCCCCTGGGAGGTACATGCTATTATTATCCTTGTTTTACAGGTGAGGAAACTAAGGCAGAGAGGTTCCATGACTTGCCCAAGATCACACAGCTAGTAAGTATCTGAACATTTGAATTCAGACCATGACTTCATGGCCAATGTTGTATCTAGCTCCACCTAGCTGCTCTCAACTTATAACCAATGACATAAAGTAATTATTCAACATTGGAGACAAAGTGTCTGATTTTGTTACCAGCTGTAATATTGTTAGTTGCTTTAGAGAAAAAAATGTCCATCTTTCTAGTAATACTCAGGTTACGGTATTCTAGGTGCTAGAGGAGATTAAATGAAACATGGTTTGTGGGTGCACATAGCTCACAGGATGCAGAGAGGAGGCAGGAGACGTGACATGTACACAACTGTAACACAAAATATCACACGAGACGCATGTTGTCTGAGAGGAATTCAAAGTGTCATTTCCATTTTTTTTTCCCCATAGGCAGTTGGGGTGAAGTGACTTGCCCAGGGTCACACAGCTAGTAAGTGTCAAGTGTTTGGTCTGAGGCTGGATTTGAACTCAGGTCCTCCTGACTTCAGGGCCAGTGCTTAATCTGCTGTGCCACCCAGCTGCCCCTCAAAGTGTCATTTCCTGGGCCCCAGATGCTTGTGTAAAAGAGAAGGGAATTTGACTTCCTTAGAGAGCACAATCCCATATTTACGCCTCCCACCCTATAAGGGAGATTTCCCAGATAATGCCCACTTTGAGATGCCATGTCATCAGTGCCCAGAGTTCCTGAGTTTGACCAACAACTGAAAGGTAAACACATTGATTTGGGCTTGTGAGCTATAGTTTTAGGGGTTCAGGGTTCCTACAGAGTACCTAGAACCTGGAGTTACTGACCCTAAGTACAGGTTAGGAACACCTACAGGTGCATTCTCTCTCAACTCTAAATCTATGATTAATGAATGTCAGATGCACATCTACTGTAGTGGTTTGTGTTTTGTTCTCAATCTGGCTGTATTCTACCTTTCCTATTGCGCTCTGTGGTTGATCCATCCTGACCTGATTACTGTTCCTCAGACACAACTTCCACCTCCTCTTTCTGCCTTTGCACTGACCATCCTCCTGGTACCTGGAACATTCTCCCTCCTGGCTTCTTGGATTCCTTGTAAGCCTGGGCTCAGATGCAGCCTTCTGAAGAACTCAGCTTCTGGTGCCTTTCTCCCCAAAATTACCTTCTGTATACTCCCTGTTTATCTTGTGGCCACCCTTGTATGTACATGTATTCTTCATCAGAATGTATGCTCTTTGAAGGCAAAGATTGTTTTTGTATTTTCTTTGTATCCCTAGGACTCAGCACAGTGTTTGGCACATAGCAAGAGCCTAATAAATGCTTGCTGATTCATTCATTGATTGTTGTCCAAGTGGAGAAGGATCGTTGTTTGGTAGGGAGATCAGGGAAGGAATCCAAAGAGGAGTTTGCATTTGTGCTGGGCCATAAAGAATAGAAGTTTGAAGGGAGAAAACATTAAGCACCTACTATCGGAATAAATATATATACATATATGTGTGTGTATATATATATGTGTGTGTGTGTGTGTGTGTGTGTGTATGTATATATACATACACACATACACATACAATATAATTCATCCTCACAGCAACACTGGGAGTTAAATGATATCCTTATTTTACAGTGAGGAAACTGAGGCAGACAGAGGTTAAGTGATACACTTGGGGTCATACAGCTGGTAAGGGTCTAAGGCAGATCTTCCTTACTCTAGGACTAGCATTGTATCCACTGCATCACCTACTTGCCTCTAATAGGACAGGTAGGATATTTGGGTACAGATGGCAATGGGAAGGCCATTATAGTAATGGAGTAATTTTAACAAAGTCATAAGGACAAGGCCACATGAGTATTTTTAGCAGAGATTTTAATCAAATTTGGCTGGAGCATAGCACATGTGTAGACGTAGCACATGTGTGGGGAATGTACTGTGTACCATTGGTGGAGGTACGAATTGGTCCAGCCATTCTGGAAAGGGATTTTGATTTATGCCTAAAAAGTTGCTAAAATGTGCATGCTCCCAACTATTTAGCAATACAATGGTTTAAAAACAAAAATGGCATCTAATAAATAAGCTTCTAGGCCTATACCCCAAAAAGATCAAGGAGGAAAAGGTTCTGTACATATAAAAATATTTCTAGCAGCTCTTTTCATAGTAGCCAAAAAGTGGGACCAAAGGAGTATTCTCCTACTGGTGAATGGCTAAACAAACTGGTGTGTGAATGTTATAGAATAATTGTGCCATAAGAAATGAGGAAAAGGACAGTTTCAGAAGAACCTGGGAAGACTTCTATGAACTGATACAGAATAAAATGAGCAGAACCAGAACAGTTTACACTAGGGGTGGGGAACCTGAGGCCTAGAAGCCACATGTGGCCTTCTAGGTCCTTGGGTGTGGCCCTTTGACTGAGTCCAAGTTTTACAGAACAAATCCTTTCATTAAGGGGATTTGTTCTGTGAAATTTGGATTCAGTCAAAAGGTTGCACTTGAGAACCTAGAGGACTACATATGGCCTTGAGACCACAGATCCCCCATCCCTGATTTACACAATGATAACATTACAGAGAAAAACAACTTTGGAAGACTTTAGAACTGTCAGCAATGCAATGATAACCAAGAGTCCAAAAGAAATAGATGAAACAAGTGATTCATGTCTTGAAAGAGAGGTGATGAACTTAAAAGGTGGAAAAAGACATACATTTTTGGATATGGTCAACATGGGAATTGTTTTCCTGGACTATGCAGTTGTGTACTGAGGGCTTTAAAAATTATTTTTATTTGCTTAGTGGAAAGAGGGAAAATGGGATGGACAGTTTTAATTTTTTTTTTTTTTTTTGGTGAGACAATTGGGGTTAAGTGACTTGCCCAGGGTCACACAGCTAGTAAGTGTCAAGTCTCTGGTCCAAGACCAGATTTGAACTCAGGTCCTCCTGACTCCAGGGCTGGTGCTCTATCCACTGTGCCACCTAGCTGCCCCTCAGTTTAATTTTTAAAGAAAAAAAAACCAAAGGATATGTATGCTATGATATACCACATTTATTTCATTTTTTAGAAAGTTGATTTTTTTTCAACAAACAAATATCTTCTTTGTCTCCCACCTCTCCCCACCCCACTGGAGAAAATGAACCTTGCAACAAATACACAGTCAAGAAACACAAATCCTCACCTTGGCCAAACCCAAAAATTTGTGTCTCACTCTGAATAACTTAGTCCTTCACTTCTCGTGAGGAGGTTGGCAGCATTCTAAATCAGCAGGCCGCTGGTTATCACGTTTGATCATTTCATTGTTCTTAAACTTTTAAAAATCACTTGTTTTTTTTTTATGTTGTTGTAGCATGAATTGTTCTCCTGGTTCTGCTCAAACCACATTTATTTCATTATAATTTATTGTGTTGCACTGCATTAAAACTCAAGCACTGACCCACTGTCAAAGAGAAATGACAAAAATACACTGCATTATTTTGCTACTGATTTTTTTCAATGTAATGCCTTATTGAGGTAGAATTGCTATTCCTATTGTTGTAAATGATTAGGGAGTACTTATTGAAAACAGTGTGTTAACTGCACAGGATTTAAAGTAGATACCATTTTTATTTTAAACCATTGTATTACTAAATCATATGTTATATATAACAAAACAGAATTTAAGGAAATAGAAGACTGTACTTCATAATTCTTCATATGAGTGATTCTGTCTTGTTAGGGTTAGTATTCTCTGCTGAAATGCAGTGTACCCGACATGCTTGGCAGAGTTTCTGCATAACTGACACATGTCAAATGAAAACTTTAGATGAGTGGTTTCTAGCCAGTACTTTCAGTAATGTTACATTATGGGAAGACCTTCTGGTTACAATGAGACATCACTTTTTGCATGTACTGCTGAAAAGTGTAAGCGGCCCCAGAAATGAGTGGCTTTTACTTGAGATCTAAGGTTACTTCTAGCTCTACATCTGTGCATCAATGAAGATTTCACCTGAGAGTTGCCTAGTATGTCGAAGGGCTAAGTGATTTACCTACATAAAGCTAGCACCTGCCAGAGGCAGGACTGAAATTCAAAGGCTAGGCCTGCATCCATTATGTCACCAGTTCTTGACAGTACATGGAATGTCTCATGCTTGTAGCTCACTACTTGATAACAGAAAGGAAGATTATATGGTTTAAATACCTTGCAGCCAACATTGTCTCCATTATGCGACTTGTTTTGTTACCTGTTTGAGTTGTCTTCATTAACCTTATTGTCATCCTACAAGTTTTTTTCTTCATTCTGTATCACTTGATACATTTTCCCTTGTTTCTATGAATTCTCCATGTTTGTCTTTCCCTACAGTGTACTAATATTCCATTACATTCACATAGCAGTTTATTTACTTGTTCCCTATTTTTTGAGCCTATTATTATTTCCGAGATTTTTGCTATTACAAATAGTGCTGTTAAGAATAAGGTAATGATGATGCAGAGTTAGATGAGCAGAACTGGGAGAAAAATAGCTTTGAAAGATGCTAGAACTCTTTTTGTGATGATAAACCATGAGTCCAGTAGGACTGAAGGAAGCTGCCCACCTCCTGCCAGAACAGTGATAGACTTAAAACGTAGGATACATACATTTTTGGACAGAGTGCAGGAATTAGTTTTGTTAAAACTGTGCATATTTGCCGGGCAGCGAGGTGGTAGAGTGGCTAGAGCACTGGGCCTGCAGTCAGGAAGACTCATCTTCCCGAGTTCACATCCGGCCTCAGACTCATACTAGGTATGACCCTGGGCAGGTTGCTCAATCCTGTTTGCCTCAATTTCCTCATCTGTAAAATGAGGCAGAGGAGGAAATGGCAAACCACTCCATTATCTTTGCCAAGAAAAACCCCAAAAGGGATCACCAAGGGTCAGACACAACTGAACAATATACACATTTACTATAAAGGTTTTATTTTTTGTTTTCAAAATTGTTTAATGGGCAGTAGTGAGGAAAGACAATAAATTATTATAAAAGTAAATAAATGTTTTTAAATAATATTTTAGTACATCTTTGTTACCTTATTTTTTTTATAGTTGTTTATGGGCTCCTGTGAATCCACTGCATGTTCTGTATTTTATAGAGACCTTTCCCAGTCCTTTCCATTGCTAGTGCCTTCCCACTAAGGTTACCTTTCATCTACAAGGTATATATCTTGGATTTATATTGTCATTTGCATGTTCTTTCCCCCATTAGAAGGTGAGTTCCTTGAAAACAAATACTGTGTTTTTACCTTTGTATCCCCAGGGCTTAGCACTGTGCTTGGCACATAATAAGTATCTAATAAATACTTGTTGATTGAAATAAGAGCTGTCTTGTACCAATATCATTTGTTACCATCACTGCTTTAAAACCCTTTTGCCAAAAACATTAGGTGCTGTTCACCCTGTAGTGTAATGCCAACCTGAGGGCTGTGGTGGAAGGCTATGAAATCTACCCTTTCTTTTAAAGCAAAATGGAAAAGTTCACTGCACTTCTGTGTCTTCCGGCTCTTGGAATCACAGGAAAGACTGTGAGATGAAAATCAGGCTGGTGTAAGTTTCATTTAGAATCAAGGATAATAGGATTTTTGATTAGGGTACAGTCAGTACTTCCTCAGCTTCCACATCCCAGTAACAAGACAAAACAACATCGAGCTAGGAATTTATAATGAAGGTTGTTGGTGTAGAATGCTGTCTGAAGAAATAATCAGCCTTTGGAAGTGACACCACCAGAAGCCTGAGTCATAAGGACTTCCCCAGGGGATGATGTGTTTATAGTCCACTCAAATGACTCATGTCAAGAATCTGCCTGGCTCTTTAGATTGATACAGAGTGACATCAAACATTCTAATAAACTCATAATCATGGTTTAAAAAAAAAACCCTTTTGCCTACATTTATGGAAACCTAGACACAAGCCATATTCAGAGATTTCACAGAGTAAAACTCTGGATGGGAGCAATAATCTTTTACTGTTATCCCCAAGATCAGACCTAGTTCATGAAAATCCGTCACTTGGGACACCCAGGTTCCCCTTCTAAGAAGAATGCTGTGATTTAGAATAATTTTCCATGAAATCTTCTCTTGGTCCACATAGCTATTATATGTAGCTCCCAAGGCAGCTATTCCTGACCTTGGAGAGGTGGGAAGTTTTACCCCACCATCCGCCTCCTGGAGAACTCTCAGAATTTGAGGATAGGTAGGCAAGGTACCAGAGACCTTGGTGGCAGAAGCCAAAAAGGCCTGAGTAGGTCTATTGACTCATTTTTATAGGTCCTTATAAAAATGTTCATTCTCTCAGCAAATTTCCATCCTCTCAGGAATCAAAGCCAACCCATTATTCAAGGGGCAACTCCAGTCAGTGAAACCCATCCCCGAGGAAGTGCTAATGGATTCTGACAATTCATCATGGGGCAAGGCCAGTCCCTGAGACCTAGCTTGCTGCTACATTCCCTTTATGACTCCTTTACACTTTTATTGTATGAACTTGGGTCTGTTTGTTTTTCTGTTCCTGTTCACTAAAGGTATTAAGATTTATTCATCCAAATGGGACCAGAGATCCTTTGGGGCCAGTGAAAAAGAAAGATTCAGGAGAAAACATACATTCTTTCCTTAATGGTTGGACAAATCCTTATCTTCCACGTCCTGCCCTCATGCCCAAAGGCTATGTCCTAGTCACTCTCCTCCTCTGTCTCTAAACTCTCCCAATCATATATCCAGCTTCCTGCTTGATATCTCTACCTGCATGTTGCATAGGCTTCTTAAACTCATGTCCAAAACAGAATTCATCTCTCTCTCTAAACATACTCTTCCTCCTAATTTCATTACTTCTGTAGAGGGCATCACCATTCATCAACCCAAGTCTACAACTGTATTAGGAGTCACTTTTGGCTCTTTACTCTCACTCCCTCCACCCATTATCAGTTGCCAAATCTTGTCAATTCTGCCTCCATAATATCTTTCTCATCTGTCACCTCCCAACTCACACAACTACTACTTTAGTCAAAGCCTTCATTGCCTACCACTAGGACTATTTCAATAGCCTCCCAGTTGGAGCCTCTGCATCCAGTCTCTTCCACTGTCCAGTTCATCTTCCACACACTTGAAACTCCTAAAGTGTAGGTATTACAATCCCATTCCTCTACTCAGAAGATTCAGTGATTTCCCATTTTTTTTAGGATAAGATACAAATTCATTTTTAGCATTTAAAACCTTTCAAAATGTATCTCCAGCCTGTCATTCCAGGCTGATTACCTATGACTCATGTGCCCAACGAGGAGCTATAAGAATAGCTCCTCCTAATATAGATGTTGAATTAGAGCTTCTAACATTACATAATAAATTTGACTGCACAGGTATCACTGAGATTTGATAGGATATATTTCATGACTGGTATTTGGCTCTGGAAGGGCATTCCTTATTCAAAGAGGAAAATATATAAAAGGAAAGGAGAGCGTACCATTGTACATTCAGAATGTGTGGTCTTGTGAGGAAATTGCCTTAGGGGAGAAAAAAAGGAGAAATTAGTTGCTGAAATTCTAATGATAGGACCCAAATATCATATAAGGGTCTGATATTCAAATTATAAAAAGAACTAATACAACTATACAACACTAAAAGTCATTCTGATGTCTTTCAGCCTTTATTCCCTTACATTGTTGGGTCATTATGTAAATTTTCTCCTGGTATTGTTTATTTCCTTTTGTTTTAATTCATGTAAGTCTTTCTAAATTTCTCTGAATTCCTCTTATTTATAATTTCTTGTGGTATAACAATTTTCCATTACATTCATTTACCACAATTTATTTAGACATTCTCCAATTAATAAACATTCACCTTCCTTTCAGTTGTTTATTATTTAAAACATACTACAGTGAATATTTTGTTGTATATATTAGATCTTACCTTCTCTCTTTGGCCTTCTTTGGAATCTATACCTCTTAATGATATTGCTAGGTCAAAGATTTTAAACAGTTTATTAACTTTTTAAAGTATAATTCCAAATTATTTTCCAAAATGATTGATTAAACTAATTCATAGTTTCACCAACACTGCATTAGTGCACCTGTTTTCCCAACACCTCCAACATCTCTTTGTAAGGGAGGCTGATGAAGACAATTTTTTGTGGAGGTGCCTCCTCTAAGAAGTTTTTGAGGAAATATCCCTCAGGGAGGCTGGTGCCTGATTTTCTAATTCAAGAATTCTTGATCTCTTGGAAACTCTAGAATGGAGAATTATGAGGTAACCCTCAATGCTGGAAATGGCTATTCTCAGAATCATTGCTCTCTAACTTGTACTTACATAAGAAAGATGTCAAATATAGTAGCCATAACACGAGTTCCAAGACTTCTTCTCAAGCTTTCCTGGACAATCATGAGTCCCTCACCCAGTTACCATTTTTTGCTCATGGGGCAGTTGAAAGACAAATGTTTACCATCCTTTTGCTCTTGCTGCACTCTGGTTTGGAAATCATAGGAAGAGAAAATTCAAAAAAGGGAAAGGGGAGGTGCTCTTTCTCTCTCTCTCACACACACACACTCACGACCAATCACTAGCTAAACTGGTGCAAAATTGTATAGACCAGGGAAGGAGTGGCTCCTTTTATGAGTCTACCCTGAGCTTCAAGCAACATGATCATGGAGAGGCAGCCCAGATCTCTAAAGCCCAGTCACCAAGGTAAAAGTACCCAATTCCACATCTAATGGGAGTCCATTCAAACACAGCATGATCAAAAACCTATAATCTCATCAAGAGGGGAGTTGGGAAAAACTCATCAAATTAATCAGGAGCTTCCCAATCATCTTCTCCTTACATATCATTTTTGTGCTGTCATCTTTGCCAATGTGATGTTTTGAGGTCGAACCTCAGAGTTGTTTTAATTGGCATTTCTTTTCTTAGTGATTTGCCATATTCTTTTATATTGTTGATAATTTACATTCCCAAGTTTGAAAATTACCTGTACTTCAGACTAAACAAGGAAGAATCAGAAATAATTGAATTCAATATCCCAATGTTCAAATACACATGAAAACAAATTACATAGGAAAGAAATCCCTATTTGATAAGATTGCTAGGAAAGCAGATTGGCAGAAAGTAAGATTAGACCAACAACTTATACCATACATCACAATGAACTTAGAATGAACACTTGAACCTAAATATTCAAGACTGTACCATTAAAAATTTTGAAGTGAGCCAGACATTGTTTCTCTCATAGCTCTGGATAGAAAGTGGATTTTTTTTGAATAAAAAGAGGATAAAGATGATTATAAAAGATAAAATAGATAATTTTTATTATATGATGTTGAAAAGGGTTTTTTTTTTTGCATGAACAAGTTTTTAATGTACCCAGGATGAGAAAAGAAGCAGTCAAGTGTGGAAAAAAAATGATGTCCAAGATGGATAGGTAATTAATAGAAACCATTTAAGACCAAAACCCATTGCCAAATAAGTGAGTAGTCAAATGATATAAACAAAATGGAGGTGTTGTAAAAACAAAGATGGCACTGAAAAAAATTTTTTTGACAAGTACTTTTTCATCTCCTTCGACCACTTATCCTTAAAGGAATGATCCTTGTTTTTATATAGGACTATATATCTAGAGCTGGCAAATGACCTCAGAGACCATAGAGTCTGCCCCCCCCAATTTTGCTGATGTTCATTTGTGTCCAACTCTTCATGGCCCCACTTGGGGTTTCCTTGGCAGAGACACTGGAGTGGTTTGCGATTTCCTTCTTCAGTTCATTTTACAGATGAGAAACTGAGGCAAACAGGGTGAAGAGACTTGCCCAGGCTCACACAGCTAGTAAGTGTCTAAGACTGGATTTGAACTCAAGAAGATGAGTCTTCCTGAGTCTAGGCCTAGCACTCCAGCCACTGTGCCATCTAGCTCTTCCTATATTTATAGGTGAGAAAATGAGGCCAAGGATGGGCAAAGGGACCTGTCCAAGGTAATGAAAGTATTAAGTACAGAGCCAGATAGAAATCAGATCTTATTGACTTCAATACTAGTGCTCTATCCACTGTACAATGGTGTTTAGGCATATATTTGAGATTTTTCTTTATTTTTTCTTCTGAATTTTTAAAAACATCAAATAAAATGGGCATTTCTTTATACACAGTAGAAGGGGAAAAGAGGGCTATTCATGAAATGGCAAATCTGAACTTGCTTGTCTTTTTTTTAATGTATATAATAAATCTATAGCTGAGCATATTTTTTTTTACCAACTCCTTATGTAGCTTAAAGATCAGACCTTTATCAAAGATTTGTCACAGATTTCCTGCATTAACTGCTTCTCTTCTAATTAGAGCTACATTAACTTTGCTCATGCCAAACCTTTTTTGTTTATTAATATATTTAGTTTTTAATAACCTAATTTCTGCCAGGAGCCATCTCTAGTCATCCTGATCTATGTCTTTCCACTGGACCCAGATGACTCTGGAGTAAAGAGTGATGCTGGTGACTTTACACAGCCCTGCCTCACTTAAATCCAATTCATTTAAAAGTCAAGACATCACCTTCTTGATGTCATGGGTCCTCTTTGAGAACAAAGGACAAACAACAATCTGTGAGTACCAGTAGCTGCCCCACTGGGGACTCAACCGGGCAGTTCCAGTTCCCGTTGAGCAATGTTGCTCCTTCCTTCCTTCCTGGAAAACTACGAGAATTTTCTCCTGCTTGGTAAAGAAAGCTTTTCATCTTACGAATGGTGTGGCCACTGGAGTGTCTTTACATTCTCATTTCCTGAAGGTTGTGGGATGTCTCAAGGGATTTTCTGAATTCTGACTTGATATGTAGAGATATTTTCATGAATGCATGTGATATAGAAAGACTCCTATATTCTTTGGTGTAAGGAGACAGTGTCTCCACTTCCATTTTCCAGATGACAGTCCTTTGCTATGTACAACTGGAAATCAACAAATCCATTGTGTTGCCACAGGGCTACAACTTCCCTACTTTGCACTCAAGGTGAAGAAGATTCTCTTCTTATGTCTCAGTGTAGCTTCGAGACATGGAACATTTCTATTTTCTTAGTTGGGCGTGTGCTCAATACTAATTTATTTCAAATAAATTAATTGTCTTTGAACCCAATTCAAACCTGTTGGTTATCTACCATGCTACATGGAACTGGACCATAACATAGAGCATCCTTCAGAGGTCTTTGCTACAGTGCCCTCTCTTCCCTAAAGAGAAAGAGCAAAGATTATATTATTAGGTGTCTCTCTGTTCTTAGCACTTTTCCAATTATTTCCCCAAGAGCAGGACTTCCAGTTTCCAAACCAGCTCTGATCTCTCAGTTGGACAAAAGAGACGTACCAGGGCTGCCAAAGGAAGAAATCCCAACAAGCTGTTATGAGGATGAGTGAACAAAAAATCAAGCAGACGGCTATGATTGCAAGCAGCTGCCCTCCTAGTCAGTAA